AAATACAAAATTTGTTCTTATATATTTCATGCTTTTTACTTTAACAAATCATTGAAAGCACTCGTTTTATGTACATAAAACCGCAGTGGATGCTGTCATACTCCGTGTTTTTTGAAAGGCAACATCTTCGTTAATATTGAAAATGGAAACTTAATGTTTGGGCACATCGTATCATTCTTTGCTAATCCATAGCTGATTTCTGCGAACATCGAAACACGATTCTGCGACTGACGCAACTGAAACTTTTCAAAACTGCACCCTAGGTGCATATTGCATAAAAAGCTCAACCTACAGACATATTTACTCTAGAATAACTTTTTGTTTAGTTGAATATAAAGGCCACGCTGAATTGACCTAGTACGGCCAAGTGCAGCCAACAAAATGTGAGCCTTACTGCGCTCATGTGCTCTTTTTCATATCAGGAATTTAAGATTTTTTCCGAGTCTCCGCGTCTCATTTTGTGATCATATTGAAACGCTGAAAAATCTCCAGTAAAGAGTACCTCTGTGTGTCAATCAGAGGCTAGATACGCTTCTTCCAAAAACAGCCTTTATACATTATTTTTCAAAGAGAACATGAAAGAGCATTTAAAACTTAACAGCAGCGGTATGAAGCTCCAGGAAATGTAGCTAGAGTTGAAATTATTTTTCTCTCAATAAATGTAACTCTGAAAATGTTTCAATATGTTCTGGATTTTCCATAAAATTCCGGAAATCCTGCTCTCATTCTTCCATTTTTGCTGTTAAGCTTAACGGTTTTTCTAATACTATTTTTTTTTCTACTATTACTACTACGGTACTTTACTATTACTATTGCTTCAGAACCGTGACTGAAACACGTTTAGTATAGATGATGTTCTCCGATGATGCTCTAATTCCCTCCTACTTAGATCTCGTATATGTCTTCGGTAGTTGCATTATTTTTGTTTAATGATCATTAGATGCCTCATAATTTCACTGCCTATCACTCGCAGATGTTATCATTCTCAAGCGAGCAGAAGTGATTGCTTTATCAGTTCATTCCTCTCGAGTATCCATGTTTTCCCGCCAAATTCACCTCGCGGCGAGCGGGAAATCTCGCGATGCGCGCGAAATTCAAAATGACGCGTAGCCTGTCGCATGAGCGTCATCCTCATCCCCTCCCATCATGACCTCGGCCGTCATTTTCGTACGCTGCCTATCACATCAATCATTTGTACGTCTCTGATACCCGGAGGAACTTTCAACCACAAGGGAAATAGATCACTGCGCAATGCATTCTGGAATCGTTGCATATCACCGAGTTATTTTTACAGTCCATTTTTATGTAGCCTTCTGAATCACGCCTGTGGAAAACGCATGATAGTATTTTTGGGAATCAGTTTCCGGGAAACTTGTGAGTCATTCTCGATGAAATATTGTAACCGTTCAAAACTTCGAGTACAAAAAACTAAAATTTTTCAAGATCTTTTACCAGAAATTGCACTATCGATTGTGAATATTTACGTAATTTTTCGGCGTGCGAATACCCAAGTTGGTCATCTCAGCTTATTTATCCTGATCCATATCGAACTAACAGTAAGTGCAGGCATATTCTCCTTCAGATTTGTGTCTCAGCTCCACAAAACCTTCAAACTTTTTCGCGACAAATTATTTGATAGTTCATTTCGAAGTGACGATTACTCCTCTCTAAAACATTACTCTACAAAAATTCCCAATTTTTTAAGTTTCAAGCCAATCATATTATTCTGCCGTATACTTTGGAAGAACGCCGAATGAGCCTCCAGACGTTGCCAAATTTCATTTGATAAAGTACGCATTTCCAGGAAACTTGCGGATATGTTTCTTCCAATTTTTTTGAGAATTTAATTCGCAAATTAATCATATATAAGCACACATGAGAATTTAAAAGATACATAATTAATCTGTTACACTCGAAGAACTCTCTTTAAGTATGCAGAATTTTTTGGGCAAATTCGGTAACGTTCGAATATTAATACGTTTTTTCTATTCTACCGTTCTAAGGAAAAACACCGTATAAGCCCTCAGATTTTGCCACTGTTCTCGAAAAAAAACGAATTTAATGGTAAAATAATGAACATTTTTCTTCTAATTCTTCATTAATAATCACTTTTTAAACTAAAGCGCTCGAAAATTTAAAGGAAAAATATACGTATGTATACGTAAATAAATAGTCACGAACACTCGAATAACTCTCTTTAAGCATGCAGACTTTTTTGGGAAAATTCGGTTCGAATATTAATACGTTTTTTCTATTCTATCGTGTTAAGGAAAAACACCGTATAAGCCCTCAGATTTTGCCACATCTCTCGAAATATATTACGAAAATTACGAAATATATTTATTTATTTATTTATTCCAGAAAAGTAAATATTTTATCGAGGGAGATTTGGTGGCGTTCGACGGCTAATACGGCGTTTTTCCAGAGCACGGCAGCACTCTACCCTCGACACCTTCGTCGCCCCTCTAACGTAACAAGGGCGTATCTTGATCTCCACATGAGCCCGGTTTTCCGTATAACTCCATGCTTTTCTAGGCTCGTGTGGAAATGGAAACACGCTCTTACTTCAGAGGAACGACGTCTTCACCACGAGAAGGGGCAACTCGGCCGGCACGTCAGTTCCCACCTCGGAGGTTTCGCCACCCCTGCGCTGCCGTGCCGAGGAAAAACGCCGTATGGCCCTTCAGGCGTTGCCAAATTTCCTTCGATAAAATACGAATTTACTGGGAAATTCGTGAATATTTTTCCTCAGATTTTTCAGATAATTTCATCCGCAGCCAGATCTAAATCATCTGCAAATTTCAAGAGAAAATATTCTTAACTCTCCTAAAAAATGATACTTTTATCAGAGGAAATTCGGCAACTCTCGAATTTTCGTACGGCGTTCTTCCTTAGCACGGCAGTGCGCCCCCAGTTCTCGCGAGTCATAACACTCGAAAGCAGGAATAAACCACCTCTCAAAGGTGAAATTCCAAAGGTGCTACAGTCATTTGAGCAAGTGACGCCTAAGGCGAGGTGGCGGGGGGTGGGGGTGCCGCGGGGGGAGGGGCCCCTGCCCCCTTTCGAGGCTCGGCGTGGCGCTTCCACCTTCAACCTTCCACCCGGCGCCCGCGCCCTGCCGGTACAGAGAGCCCAACGCGGAGTCGGGGTGAGTCGCCCAGCTGCAGGAGGCGAGGCTGAGCCCAGCTGGAGATAAGTTTAATGGCAGCCCGCTATTAATTTATAGTCATGCGATCGTGTTCTCATAAATTCCGTGATTTAAATCTCCGAGCTCAGCAACTAACTTAAACTGGGCCGCTTTCGCCGTCCGTCCCTAATTTCAGGATGAGCCCGGGCAACCACCCCCCGGGAGGGGATATTGCTTATTTTTTTTAACCAATTGAAATTCTGTGAAACTTTTCGGGCTGTGGAAGTAATGCCGGATCTCGAGCTTTCAGCTCCGCTTACGAGCGCTTCGATATGCCTTTTGTAGATTATAAGCAAGGGGTTTTTTTTTTTTTTTTTTTTTTTTTTTTTTTTTTTTTTTTTTTTTTTTTTTTTTAATAACCAATATGTCAGTTTGCGTGAATATATCTCCGAGTGTCGCACATAACAGTGGAACCAGCTCATAGAAGAGGCCAGACATGACATTTATGGCTAAAATTTCAAATGATGTTACTTTTGTCGGAAATTCTATTTCAAGGGATGTTTATGAAAGGAATTTTCACGAAAAAACCAATTAGACCACTCGTAATCTTTTCTGTTTCATATTTTCGAAAATTTAAGCTTACGAATATTCTAGATTTTGTCTGACCTCTCCTATTGACTCGGTCCTGTGTGTGTCGTAAACTTTCCTTTGATTTAACACAGATTTCCTGGATAGACTTTGAATGTTTTCTTGTCGGTGTTTCAGTTAAGTTCGATCGGAATTTGATCTAATTCCGGAGAATGCCGGAGGTTTATTCCGCGATAAAATAAGTCATAATGATCAGTTACGGCGTTTTTACTTAGCAAGGCAGCACAGTTTTCATCCCTAAACCACAAATCCTCCCCATCGCGGAATGAGGATGACGGTGATACTTGCAGCGTAACGGTTGCATCGCCGCGTCGCGCCTAGCCACATCACTTGGAAACGAAATCGCTGCCAGTTCTCCTTCAAGTTTTGCGATGCAACCCAACCTCACACAGAAGTTAATTAAGTTGTATCCGCCGATTGGCTGTAATCTGAATGTTTCTACGCCTCCGGAGGACCTATTACTTACATTTAAGGAATTATCAATGAATTGACAGACACATACTGCCTCGCTAAGGAAAAACGCCATATGAAAATGTTATGAATATTTTTCTTTGGAAGTTTCATGTGATTTAGATAAAATTGCCAACAAAGTTTTCCGAAAAATTGGAATATAATATTCCAAAATTTCCTAGGAAATCGTTAGGTTTTATCAAAGGGAATTTGGCGACAGCCAAAGATTCATACGGCGTTTTTCCCTAGAAAGGTAGCATTTCTTAGGTACAACGGAGAGAGGTAGGTCTCGGTCGGGTTTTGGAAAAAAAGCAATTCGTTGCGAAGTATTTTCCTCTGCGCTTTTCTCCCCTTTCTTTCATAATCCTCATTTATGTATAACTTGCTAATGAAAAACACTTAGAGCAATCTAAGGGAACCAAGAGAGCAAACCAAGGGAACCAAGGGGAGAAAAATCCAGAGGACGCAGCCACCTGCTTTTTTCCAAAATCAGAGACCTGCCTTTCTCCGTTTTTATAGCGAACACGGCCGCAGTCACGAGATTTATACTTCGCCTTCATTTACGGGTGTTACCCTCCTCCTCGCAGAAAATGTGAAATTAGTTGTATCTGAGTGTTTTGACTGTCTCGACTGTGAAGCAGGCCAAGATTTTCGTCTAAAATTGTTACAGTGCATGACGTGATTACTTTCGAACCCCCTAAGTAATACTTTCAAAATTTTGATTTTGACATCTTTCTCAAATTCTGATTTTTTCCTGTCTCATTTTCTGTTATAGGTCGAGGTTCTTCAAGTGGTTTACATTTCCCCTCAGTGATGATTACTATAAGGGGATGTTCTTTTCACGTCGTATAACTTCCCTCCAGCTTATAATTTTGTTTGTTTGCATATTAGCACTACTCATTGGCAAGCAAATGAAGGATTTATATGATAAGCATCAGCAAATTATACGTCTAGAGGACTACAATCACTTTGTAAGTTAAGTCACTCATTTCTTAGTTGCAAGATTTCAATTGCTGCTTTGTTTCTTTTCTTCATTGTTTTTATGCTCTTTATTTAACCTTTCAATTAGGTTTTTTATGTATTTATATTTATTTTTTTTTTTCATTTCATTTGATAGAGATAGTACAAAATTTTAAAATAAAATGAATTTCGAATATTTTAAATTTTAAGATATTTTGTGCCGAAAACATTTTCCGAAAAGCATTTTCATGAGAAGTCATGCCCAAAGAAAAACTGAAAAAAAATCATGGCAAGTGATGAAGAAAGACGAAAATTGATTTTCAAAAATCATGAAAAGTCATGGAATGTCGAGAAATTTTGAAATCCAAGAAAATTGTCATCCTGCAAAGGAACTAGCATGATTCTACCTCTATGAATAACAATATTCCCAGTTCATAAGTGATAACCAATTGTGCGTATTTCTCTGTTATAGTTGGATGAAATGGCTGTAACAATGAAGAGCTTCGAGAAACGGCTTGTCAATCATTCTCACAAAATTCGTGAATTGAGCAAGTTCGTGAAATCAGAGAAAAGCTCAGGAGTGAGGTGACGAAACAGAAAGGCAGTGACTTGCAATGTAATTCAAATCATCACTTTTCCCCTCTCTCATGTCCCAGCTGGATGCCTTATTTTTCACTTCTTGTTTCTATTTGTATAAGCTCTTTTTCCCCTGTGTTTGTCCTTCTTTTTCTAGTTGACTTATTTGACCATTTTGTGAGTGAGGTTTCACGGTGATATGTACTTTTTTTTTTGTTATTTTTATTTCTTCAAAGAACAAAGTCAAAAAAACGAAGAGTCCAAGACGCTGTAACAATCAAGATTCTGTATATCAGCACATCTGCAAGAAAGTTTGGCTATTTGATCTTATTGTTTGTTAAACGTGACTCAAAAATTTTCTTAATCATAATCGTTTGTTCTCTTTCACTCTTTTTCGCTTGGTGGGTAAAAGAAGCCGTGATCGTCTAAGACAAAAAAGAGGGAGGAAGAAGAAATTGAAATATTACGGTTTCTAGTACCTACTTTTTAAAAGCTAAGTGAGCATTTGACAATCAGGTGTTCAGCTCTTCTGAAGATTTAATATAGGCGCCTCAAAGTGTATCATATCAATGATATACATGTATCTTGGTATGGAAGACCAAGTAAAAAGGTTTCTTTTCCCAGACAAAGCCTCTTTGATTACCTATTAAAGTTCTAATTATGCAATGGATATTGTATGCCACCACCCCACCACTCTTAAAAGTATTTCTTGAACAATTAATTCCAACATTTTTTGTATGACTTAATTCCGTTGTTATTGTTTTTGTTGCTTTTTCCTCTTTTTGACATGTTTTTCTTTCCTCCATTTGTAAATTATTGTTTGACACCCATTTTATTATTTTTCCCATGACATCGCCTCTTTTTCAGTAGCCACTCAAATTAAAAGTTTACAAATGAAAACAGGCTGTTGAATTTGTGCCAAATTTTAAAAGTTTTATTTCAGAATTTTTTTGTAAAAGGTCCTGTACTTAATTTTAAAGCCAATGACAGACATCCTGTCCCTCACTTTATCCTAGCTTTTTATTCATAAGTTTATTTGCAAGTTGCAATTTCACAAGTTGATTAATTCAAAATGCAGTTAAGAAGGATGCACACTAAATATGTGAAAGTTTATCCTACATAAATTCAAGGTGTCAACAGAAACTTTGCATCGTTTCAATCTGTTAAGTTATTCGGAACCAGTAGTGTTATTTGTAGGATGTAGCTGAAGGAACTGCTGATATTCTTTTAAAGCCTGCGTTTAATTTTGTAATATCACCAAATGTCTTATTTTTTGCCAAACACATGTTTCTCAAAAAAGCACTGTCCTGAAAACTTAGGGAATACCTAAAATTAAGTGATTTTTGAGTGAGATAGAATGGATCATAAAAAGTGTTTACGTCCAATGAGTTGGTTGACCTTCAGAGTGAAATAAAATATTTGGTACCTTGTCTTTAGCGTATAGTTTTTATGTGAAAATGAAGCTGGTCCATCGCTGTTGACATTGAAAAATTTGGCCACCTCAGTTGTGGCTATATGATTTTTAGTGACCTTTTAAAACTCTGAAACCAACACTCTATCTCTTCTTCTGAGTTCTGCCCGATTCAAAAGTCCATTCAATCTTATTAATTTTAAACGATTTTTTATCCTATACTGAAATGATCATCATTTTTTTATTATTCATAGTTTGATTAAAATATGCAGGTCTATCATTGAACTTTTGTTCTTTTTGACTCGGCAGGACAAGACTTGGTGGAGTAGAATTATGTGTTTGGTTAACTTTGTCAGGTGCCTTTTTTGTCGTGTCTGCGTCGGGTGGAATTGACAATAATCGAAAAGCACCTCCAAAAGCTTGTTGGCAATTCCACTAAGTACAGGCACAACGAAAATGGAAACTATCAAACTCAATTTATCACCATTCACTCTACCTTAGTCTTTTCTTGACCAACTAACCAATAAAAAATTAAATAAGCAACTTCCTAGCCCTATTTTTTCTTTTACATAATGGATAACCTGTATGATTGCATAGTTAACATGATAATCTCCTCGATTTAAATTAAAAATACCTCCTCTATTTTTGTAATTTTCTATTGAAATTTCAGTCATAATGACTAAATGTAGAACTGGAGAGCGTTTTATAGTTGAGCAGCCTTGTTGTTATCTATCAAGCTTGTACATAGATTTAAAGAATAGTTTTTCCATGAAAAAAACTAGTCAGTACATTTATAACTGCAGAAATACCTAGTATAAAAATTGGACTGAGTTAAGCAGAAAGGAACCAACCCACATTTTGGAAAAAATCGAGTTATGAGTGGTTTTGAACTTAACCACTGCTCTACTATTTATCGCCGAAAATTCAAAGTTTTTGTTGGAGCAAATTTTGCAGAAATTTAACTTGAAGTTTATCTTTTACATTGAGTCTTATGCAGGAGCCAAACTTTAAACCTCTTTATCTCGGTTCGATCCCGATGTGGCTTGGTTCCTTTCTGTTTAACTCCGATCAATTATTCTAACCACCATCAATCCATTGCAAAATTTCATGTAACCTATATCCTGCAATGAAAGTTTATCATCTTTCTGATACACCTATTGCACTTACCTTCCTCAAGTGGTTGTCAATTTTTTTTAATTCTTGTTATTTTGTCCATTCTGCAACCACATGTCTATCAATACTCTGTCTTTGGAACAATATAAAATGATTGTTTAGTTAAGTCTGTAGTTTTTTAATATCTACCAGCCCTTACCTACCAACTTATTTTTAAGTGAAACAAATGCAATTTTACAAATATTTTTCCCAAGTAGCCAGACCGTGTATTTCAATATGCGAAGTTTGAAAACGGAAGTAGCTTTTTTTGAGCTTCGAAGCTGATTTCAGAGAAAACCAGTGGCGCCATCGTGTTTCTCGCGAACTTTTACGTAAGAATCAACATTCTAATCGCAAATTCCTCACACATGCAACATCTCCATTTAAGGGGCTACAACTTACAACTACGTAGATCTGCCAAGCTCCGGAATGCGAATATTTGCGCGATTGATTTATTAACTCAACGATGCGAGCAGCGAGGACAATGCTTGCATTCATAAACGTTAGTAATTTGAGATCGATAAAAAACTAAGATTTTCCTTCATTTTCCCGTGATACCACATCACATATCGATGGTGAAACTACCAAATCACGCATCTCGATTTTTGTCGGGTTTGAGTTAGCTGCATAAATGAATTGTACCTAGATATCCTTCTTCTGCCATCAAAATAGTTTTGTCCAAAAATATCGGACGTTACCCAAAAACGTTATTAAAATATCACATATCTCAGCGCTAATTCGTAATTAACATTTATAGCGTCGCACAATGGTTCTAATTTGCAGTTTAACAGGAAATTCATACTTAATACCGAAGTAATGATATTTTAACATTACTGAATGCCTGGACTATTACGTTTGACCCCTTTTTGTATTTATCATTATGAACTATCAACGCTTATATATCGACGGTGTAAATTGGCATAACTCGGTTTGCGACATCGCAGACTTCCTGTCATACTTCATTTTTAAAACGGAAAACTACTCAACGGCAATTCTTTTAAACTGCCGTGATTTTTCTTCTCTGTGCGAAGAAAATATACTGCAAAAACTTCAAGGAATGGTGTCAATTTGTTCTCCTGTAAAAAAATAACATAGAGGCGGAGATTTTCAGACACCGCAAACGAGATATGTGATTGCCAACTTACCTACACCGTCGATATGTTCTCTGATTATTAAATTTTCTTTTGATTNGGGGGGGGGGGGCAATGTTGCGTAACTTTATGAACCAGCAAGTAGTATTATCTGGTAAAATCTACCTCCTGAATTTTGTGGCTTTCCCGAGGAAAATACATTTCAAAACCAGAGAAAAAAATTTATTCTCCTATCCGAGTTGTTCATTCAATGTTGACAAATCAGCGTAAGACAAACTTTATTTGAACTTAAATTCTCGCTGATCTATTAATTCACGTGCAGTGCGTTGAATCCGACTTTGTTCGGGGCGTAGAATCAATTGCGCGCAGGTCCGAAACTCCCCGCGGCTTCCTCAGCCAAGAAACGATGAAAAACGAGTGTTTTTTTACCTTTCTTGAGGTTTATATAATGCGCGTTTTTCGCCGATCGCAGGATCCACCGGAGCCGTGGAGTCTCTTGCATGCAATGGACCCATTCGCCATTCACGCCATGGTAGGCACCACTGTCGATTTTTCTCAATTTTTGATAAGAAGAAAAATCTTGAGATTGGTGTTGAATCCTAAGTAGTATGCTAAGTTTTAGTAGTGGATCCTAGGCGTTGAACCGATTGCGCGTGGTCCCGAGGCTCCCCGCGCGATTTACCGGGCTCGTGGAGCTTGTCTGATCCTGAGAAAACCCTACTTAGTGGAAATATTCAGCGGCGCACTACCAGCGCGAGACGCGCGCTGGCGCCTACAAACCTAACAGAGATACTTCACGCATTGCGCAATGCGCTGAGTATGGCGCCTACAAACCTAACAGAGATACTTCACGCATTGCGCAATGCGCTGAGTATGGCGCCTACAAACCTAACTGGGATACCTCACGCATTGCGCAATGCGTGAAGTATCCCTGTTAGGTTTGTAGGCGCCTATGGATACCTGTCGCGCCGCGGAGTGCCACGGCCCGCGGCGCCTCAAGCAACTGTTTCTATTATACGAAATTGAAGGCGGCCCAATATATTAAGAGTGACAGGCATACTTTAAGAGCACAGAGCTTCCCTCGCAAAATAAAACAAGACTTTCAATTAAAAACTTTGAACGAGATTTTCTCAATACTTGAAAGTGCGACATCCGCTGTTTTTACATATTAAGCTTCTCATGATCTCTTAGATGCAATTGCGGAGTTAGCATAATAAAGTCTAGTAAATATATTAGTGAATGTATAATATTCTGCACTTTCTTTCCTGAAATGTGGGCTACATCAGCCTCAGCTGATCTTTCATATTCAGTAATTTTGACCCTTTGCACGATGCTATTCACGAAATACGTCGCGTAGACCTGCAACCTCGATCTGAATGTTCTAAAAAGGAACATGCTTACCCATGTCATTAAGTATACATTACAATAAGTAAGTATACAATACATTACATTACTCTAGGTCTAGGTAGGTCCGAAAATTAGCTAGGGGACCTTTTTTTTTAACTCAACATTTTTCAGTAGTGGAGGATAGATACGACGAATTTTCGGGAAAAAAAATCACGCTAATATTTATACGCGAACAATCACTGATTTTTTTTTTTTGGTCCGTTTAGATATAAATAATTTGTTCGTGATGGTCGCAGCCGGTCGCTTAGCGCTTAGGGCATCATCATTCGCGCGTAATTTAAATCCTTGTTAGCATTGCATAGAGAGCTGGGTATAAAGGGACTCTATAGAGAGCAGCACCCACCTGATAAGAAGTGTCTATTCTGACCGTATTTACATACAGCGTGGCAGTCGCCTTATCAATCGTAACAAAAGGGGGCTAAATTTTTGTTTGAGCGATTTATTTTTACCTTATTTAGTTATCAGCTCTCTTGCCAGTTAAGTTTCGTATGTGAACACTTTTAATCAGTACCTTCATTATCAGTGTCAATTAAAACTGTCTCTCAATTATGGTTTCAAGTTCTTGAAAGTTGACTCATCTACTAGCATCACACCACTAGCTCACACCACTGTTAGCAGTTTATTAAATACATCTTTTCGTCAGTTCTCTTCATAATTATTCCAACATACCTTCGTTGCAGTACGCTCCTCTTGGGGGTAGCTTTGCCCCAATGGATGAAGGCTATTCAACATGGGTAAGATAACGATTTTTGATCCCTTTTGTAATTTACGTGAGCATGGCTCAGCTTCGTTGGGCTGCGCACCCAATCCATCTGTTGTGGTCCTTTATTAGCGATCTTTGCAAGCTCTGTTTTCAGGGTCCTTTCATCCCCTTGCCCTGATTTGTTTTAGAATCACCCCATCATCTTAATCTTTACTGCTCTCTTCAACCCTGTATTGGTCTCTACAATCCCAGCAGATGTTCATTTCCATCAGCAGAAGTGACCGGAGGTGCAGAAAGTGCTCAATCGACTGATTGCGGGACATCTCTGAAGGCACCTGATAAGGGTTAAAAAAAGTTGAAGTAGACGGCATAAACCCGCTAAGCGCGTAATTTGTTGCGGAGGAAACTGTGAAGCGTGCAAGTCTTATATGGACAGCACTGTGAAGGGGAAGAACTTTCTGCAGCCCTAGAACTATCCACCAAAACCCTGACTTGTGATTCCCTTTGATCCCTCAAAAAATCATTAGAATTCAACATCATGCATAGGTAACTTATTAGGTATCCAATGGGATTGGAAGCGTAAAATCTAGTGATAAGTTGAACAGTGTGACATAGGAGAAAATAACTCAGATCAGTATTCCTGTTTTATCACAGGACTAGTTGCCATTTTTAATGTCATTGTTAAAAGATATTTTCCTCACCTGGAGTTAGTTATATTGATGACACATAAATTTGAAAATTAATTGTGAAAGCCAGAAAGGAATGAAACTACATTCTTTCTACTCTTAATGCTGATGAACCCTCTCTTTTACCTGCAAAATGTGCACTAGAAATAACTGCCCAAAAAAATTATCAATTCTGTGTATTAATTTTATTAATATTATCAAGTTTTTTTAGTTGACAGCTTTTGATCACACAATAAAATGGGAAAGCAAGATTCAAAAATCCAAAACCCAACTGAAGAGTGTCAATTTTTTTTAAGTTCTCTCCATGAAGGTTTCATTTATTATTTTTAAAAATTTAAAAACTTAAATGCTTATCTCCTATATGTTTTCTCTTCACAGACTGGTTTACTGTACGTTTTCAATTTAATTGTTGGGACTGGAGTGTTGACTCTACCGCATGCATTTGTCCAGGCAGGATGGGTCTTTGGAATTCTGCTTCTCTCAGCACTCGCTTTCACAAGGTCAGAAAATCAGGATATTGTGTATGTTTGTAGGATGATACTCAGTCAATCATAATCCTCATTCGTCATGTCTCACATGTATATCTACAGTGTAAGTCAGCAAGCACATAACTCGGTTTGCGACGTCGCAGACTTCCTGTCATAATTTATTTTTTAAACGGAAAACTACTCAACGGCAATTCTTTAAAACTGCCGCGAAGAACTTTCTTCTCTGTGCGAAGAAAATTCTGTATAAACTTCAAGGAATAATGTCACGGAGATGTTAAAGGAGAACAACTTGACAGTTGTTCTCCTTTAAAAAATTAACTTAGAGACGGAGATTTTTAGACACCGCAAACGAGTTATGTGATTGCCAACTTACACCGTCGATATACACCTCTTGAAAAATTAAAATGAGGGTGTTTATCAATACAGAGTGTTCTTCGATAGAGGGTAGGAAGAAAACAAAAAAAAGAACTTATCAATCATTTTAAGTAATGAGTAAGTGAACAGTCGGTAGTGACACTTTGAAGAACCCAAGTATGAGATGTTTGTACAATGAACTTTGAAAACCCATCTTGTACTCACTGTAGCATGAATGGAAAATCATAACAACACTTTTACTTCCAAAAACTATTTTTTCCCTCAGTAGCAATTATAGTAATTCCAAAGCTATTTCTTTCAATTGCTATCTATGTAATTTACAAGAATACCAATTACCAAGTTGAATGTACTTCTTTAAGAATGGAAAAGATCGCAACATAGAAGTCGATCATTGAATATCTTATTTGCACAGTTTTTGAAGCAGCAAATAAGTATGTCTACTTTTTTCATTCTTAATGAAACCAATTGAAATTGTGCGATATGTAAGTAAAGCTTTAGCATCTATTTTTTTTTCCTTTGCAGTTATATGGCTGTAACATTCGTCATAGAGGCAATGTCTCGGGCCAATGCTGTAAAAATGACACTAAGATTGCGCCATCTTCAGAAATCCAAAGCAGCCTTTTTGAAGGTAAATATTTTCTGGAAATCCAGTACCAACATCTCTGATAACATTAAATTATTTATGACAAACTACTAGATCTTGCAGTGTTTGTGTAAAAAAATACATGGAAGAGGAAAGGGGTTATACTAAAAATTTTCAGAAAATTTTTTTGGTTCGTAAAGCTTAAAAAATGATAGAAGATGCTCAAGTCAAGTGCGTGGAGTGCCATGCCTTTGGAAAGAATTTTTATAAAGAGTCTTGTTCCTTCCCTTGAATCTTTACTTTTAATTTTCTTTCAAGGATTAATTGTTCTGAATTCTAACCATCTTAATTGTCACTGACTGAATTATCATATTTTATCAGAGCCATTTATCTTATCACTAATGCTGTGTCTTGTTTCATAGACTTTTCAAATCTTTATGTCTTTTTAATTTGAAATAATCACCTGCTCGCATTTATACAATTCAATCATTTAACTGTGGACTGTTGTCTACATTATGAAGAATGCAAAATAAGGAGCATGAGAAAGTGTCAATTTTATTTTTTTTACTTTGTAGAAAGTCAGCAGTCCACAACATAAAAAGTGGCGACTGAGGGTGGGAGTTAGTGACTGGCTTGAGGTATTGTTTAAGGGTTGAACCACAGATATATCGACACATTCAGAAGATCCTGTCTTGTCCAAGCCTATCAACCCTTCAACGGTAGATCCAGCTGCTCACCTGACTTAGCCCCTCAGCCACCAATTTTTGTCTTGCAGAATAGAATAGTTTTCATCCTTTTTTGGTATTATTTATGTTTGAAACAATTTCAACTGCTACCCTAAAATTGTTGGTAGGTAGAAAATCTCTGTGAATTGTCTCTCGTAAATTTCAGTTCTTTGTCCACTATTTGCTGCCACTTGGAAAAGCGGTACAAAAGTAAAATAATATCAAAAATATCTCCTAATAACTGAGCATTAGTTTCCAGCAATAGTAATCACTGAAAACTTATTTCCTCAGCAGTTTCAAAGAACTGTACACAAAATAATTATTCTTCTTGGTTTTTTATAGAAATGGACTATTCCTCAGGTTATCAAAACAATTCTGTACTTAAGCAGAGCAACAAATATTTCAGCTCGTGACCAAGAATATTTTTATGGCAAAAGTGACAATTTGACAGCATTTTCTGTAAATATTGTATCAACCCCCTCTTCTTGTAATTTTGTATCATATTATACTCCATAATATAAAATCATAAGAGTAATAAGACCTGAGGTGTAGGTTGGATGGCGAAGCGGCCAGGGAGTGTAGCCTCCTAATTTTGTTTAATTTGACTTTATTTTTATTTTTGTGTAGCAAATACAAGGAGACTCTGACGTAAGTGTGTCGGGGGATGAAGAAGGTGATCATTCAAGGATACCTCCTGAAACATCTCCCTTAGTTCCGAATGGTCAGTATACTTTTGTTAATAATTTAAGTTCTCTCTTTTTTTTTATTATGCTTTGAAAAATGTATCTGTTAAAAAATTTTAAGACAGAATTTTTATTTTGACTAATATTTGTGCTGAAATGGCAGCAATATATTGATTCTTTTGATTTGATAAAACAAACTACTTGAAGTGCAGTAACCATCAATTTAGCCTGTCATTTCATTAGACTCATTCAGGCTACAGACAATGAAAATTGACAAAATGTATATATTTCTATCAAAACAGTGTCCTTTTTATCAGATTATGACATTTTATTTTTACTATCTCTTTTGGGTTGAATAGTAAAGGACTTAATAGGGTTTTGATCCCTCTAGCTTCTCAAAGTTTTGTTTTTCTCATATCTCATAGGTAAAGTTCAAGCTTGAATCTAAGATATTCTGGATTACCTTTGGGAAAAACTGCATGTATGTTTGATTTTTTTTTGTTGCAGAATATATTGATAAATTTCCAGCTGCACCAAGATCACTTTTCTCTGTTGATACTAAAGTTGAAATGGTAAGATCATCCGTACACATACTGGCATTTGCTAGCATTCTTACTTTCTTTTTTTCAAAAAGCTACATATTATAAAGGTTGGGGATATACCTGGAGATATGTTGTGCGAACTTCTGTTCGCATTGGTTTCCTAAAAAGACAAAATGGACCAGAGCACGTTTTGCATCTTTTCAGCTTCTTTGAGGCCTATTTTTAAGTTAGTGCCTCTTCTTATTTCTTTGTTATGTTTTTTATGAGTTCTTATGTGTACATATATTTTTCAGAAAATTTGAGTTCTTTCGATCACTTATGTAAAAGTATTCAATAACACGAAGTAGCTACTGGTCCAAATCGATGGCTAAAGTACTAAGGCTACGTAATTCCTTGAAAACTTCCTCGATTTTTCTTCCCTATCAGCAGAATATTCTGTATGAATTTCAAGCTGAGAAGTTGGTTTGTTTTCCTTCAAAAAAGTAAGATAATAGCGGAAACTTTTAAACATTGGATTGTTGCGACAGATGCGTTGTTTTGCACTTTGGCTGTCAAATTACATATCCTTTCACACATCATCACTTTCGGGTCAAAGCATCACACTTGCCATGCAACGTTTAAAAATTTCCGCTGTTATTTTATTTTTTATAGAGAAATTGTTCAACAAAGCTGTCCAAAAATTTCTCTGAGTTTTATCGGCAGCACCAAAAAAATTCAATGAAACTTTAAACAGATTCAACCAACAATTTCTCTGTAAAAAAATATGATAGCGGCAGAAATGAAACGTTGCATGGCGCTTGTGATACTTTGGCCGGAAGGTGACGACATAAGGTGTTTCTTTCAGGTTATTGCTTGTTAATGATCACTCTGATTTTTGTCTTCAGGTGGAAATGGCTGAGCTCTTCTTTCCTCCATGGGGCAAGGTCTTCTTTTTTATAAATTTCTGCCTCTATTTATGTGGAGATTTGACGGTCTATGCAGCAGCAGTTGGAAAATCTTTGGTTGATGTCTCATGGTTAGCATTTTTCTCTTCATTTTTGTAGTTTCTGTTACTTTCTAATTCAGGATCGCTTGTCACTCTTCTGGATCCTATGTCAGGTGTATGTCATAGAGAGTGGATAACATATTGTATTGCATTTCTCAGTGCTAAAAATTAGCAAACTAACTGTTGACTTTTCATTGTGCGTAACATTAATCGGCGGAAATTTCTTTAGAATAAATGTAATTTAAAATGGAAAGTTTAGCTAAGAAATATGAAGAAAGCCCTTGTTTCAATCTTCTCTTGTGTCATAACTTAGAAGGAATCCAAGAAGAGTCATGCCTCCAGCCGATTTTTTTCCTAATTTCTCTTTGCCATTTTTCCCCTGGACAAAAAAGTAAGCTCCGAAATGAGTGAGAGTTCAATTCATTTCACTTCACAAAAATTTCACGGAAACCTTCTTAAAATAAGAATCTAGAAATTCAGGCTCATGTGTTAGGTTCAAGTCACTCATTAGCCCAATGGCGCTGAGGTGCTCTTAGCCTGCAAATATTGAAATCATGACTCATGCTAATGTATATTAATATCCGGCACCATAAATGTTTGATCAGACCCTCTTCATTGTACTCATATTCACAAGAGAAGCTAATTTCTTGAGTGGAAAGAAGACTTGTCTTCAGGTAGACTTGCTGAAATTTTATATTACTTTTCAATAGCTTGATTTTTTTCTTCTTTTGCTGTTTCAGTATGACCACCTCAATAAACTCAACTCATCCTGACAATGAATTGTGTTGGGAAGGGGCAACCATCACTAGAAGAGGAGCTTATGCTATATTTTTGGTAAACTGCTTCTTTTTGTTTGTTTTTTTTTTATATTGTCTTTAACCATGACCTTTCCGCGATAATTTTTTTGAAAAATCAGAGTGAAACTACTATGGTACTATTCACATAATTGACATGAAAATAAACAGATCTTAATGAATAAAGCCTCAACATACGGATGCTGAAACAAGAAAATTTTAGGAACGATAACTTTTCTTTACATAACGAGAAATTAATAACTCTAACCGCTAAAACAAACCTCAAGACTGTTCATACACTGAAATTGTGCATCTAAGTTTGCATGGAGCAAAATTTTTTTTCTAGAAGGATAATACTTATCTGAGTAATGTGTCCCGGTAAAACCAAAAATTCAAGATAAAAAGGGGGAAGGAAGAGGAGTGTCCTCATCTACTTCTGTTTGATGTACAAAAAAACTGCCTAGAATCTCACAGCAATGTTGCAATTTTCAAAAAGTAATCGATTGCCATGTCACAAATTACAAATTCTACATCTTTGAAAGTACTGCAAATTTTATAATCAAATAAACATCCGTATTTAAACATACTAATACTCTTACACGTAATGCAAAAACATAACTAAGTTCCAAAAAATGCAACTATACATCTGTATATATACAGTTTTTTTTTTTTAAATAAGTATGGTTGATGTTTTGTTTGTTTGATTGCAGTTGCTATTCGTGCTTACTCTTGGACCGTTCGCCTTTTTTAATGTTCAGAAAACGAAATACATCCAGATGTTTACTACCCTCATGAGAACGCTTGGTAAGTTCACTTCAAAAATTGTCATCTGTAAAGCAAGCCATTATCTAAAAGTCTTAGCACTGAAAATAATCTTTCTCAATTAAAAGTTCGTCGTTGAATACCTATAGTCTTTTACATAGATAAGGTATTTTTGCATTCATTATAATTAGTCCCCTTCTTTTCAAGGATCAAGGGAGTGGAAAGGAGGGAGGTCTCAAATATCTTATTGCTAATAACAATGTAAGTTCTATAAACTTCTCGTGTTTCCAGTAGGGGTGTTCAAATGAATTCTTGCCGAAACGCTATCGACATCGTCTCTTATTGAAACTGGCAGCAGTACCGACAGTGGCAATGATATCGACAACAGCCGGCCTTATCGGAGTTTTGAGAGCTCGCACTCAATGCATTGTTGCCCCGTGTCTCGGTTTATCAGATTGCCTGGCGCGGCGACGCGTAAAATAGATGTACAAATGGCAACAGCTTATTTTCGCCAGCTCCGAAAACTCTGATCGCTATCGGCAAGAGCCCTCTTATCGTAACTTTTTCTTAACGGAACTGTTTCGGTAGCTTACCGACAACCGATAAAACAGCCCTAGTTTCCAGTTGTATCAATCTTTTTTTGACTGGATATAACTCATATCACTTGTAGCAAGCAGTCAAAGCTAACACACCATGAGCTGTTGGTCTTTAAGAAGTGGGTATTTGGAGGTACTGGGATTCGAACCAGGACTATAGCATTATTCAATTAATCTAAAACAGGAGGATTCAAATATACTTAGGAAAAGTCAAGATAGGCTTGGGGTATCTGGAATGTCAGCGATGCATTTTCAACTCATCGAAAGATATGCTTTCAACATGTTTCTGACCTTGTCAGGCTCATGGCTGATATTATTTTTGTCATCCTGGTCTATAAAACGTACCCTGCAATCAGTCTTCCCCGTAAGGCTTCCATTGTGCTGTCAGGCTGGCAGAAATCTATCGGGGGGCTTATCGCGAAACTAATTGATCAGCCCATATCATGGACACAACCAAGAGGTAGCTTGTATGTTGCCGTAAACTCCGGTAGCGAGCAATCATATTTTTTTTAGTTTTTTCTCGCATGATCTCTTGGCTTGTTGGACACACCTATGGAACTATTCAGCAAAATCACATAAGTAGGGAACAAGTCAAATTTAGCACTGTTATGTGGATAAAATATGGATTCAAGGATCAAGTAATACAATAATTTTTTGATTGTAACCATCTCTCACTCACTGTACTCTGAGTACCCTCCCATAAAGATTTTGCAGTGCTGGTGCCAATGACCCTCTTGTAATTTCCAAAAAAGTCTTGAGTAGCATTTTAATTTTGTTGACCAAAGGGATTGCGGTCCGTTTGAAGAATAAAACAATTAGACTAGAATTCAGCTTCATTTATCTGGTAATTTGAGCTGAAAGCAGTCAGCAGAAATCAAAAACATTGGAAGATTGAGAATACTTCTAGAATGCTAGAACTATTGAGAAAGTCAGGAGGAAGCCTGAGAAAAGAGCGGTGTGAGATGATGCCTACCGAATTATTGATCGTTACATAAAGTTCGCGAGCATTATCAGTTGCTTGGTTTATTTATCAAAAATTTCAGGACTTGATGTTCAGAGATGATATACATGATGCTTTTCATAACGTTCTTCTGCCAATAAAATGATAAGTAAGGTTTGCAAAGACACGCATTCATATCTTAGAGTGCTAGATAATCAAGGAATGAGTCACTGGAGAAAAGGATTGTAGTTGTGCTAGTAGAAGTGTTGAACTGGAGTGGTGCAATTGTAATCAAAAAGTTTACAGAGAGGAGGTCTATTGAATCAATCCCCAAGGAAGACAGTTTGATGGACCAAAGAAGAACATTCGATGGAAGGATTCATGAAAAGCAGTGAAAAGTCAATTGAAGAATTTAGTGATTACAAAGCACAACCTCTCCATTTTTTTCTTTTTCTAGCTTTCAGTGTCATGATTGTGCTGTCGGTGCAAAGAATCATAGACCCCACACAGGATCATGGCTCCCCACCTGTCGTACGACCTGCTGGGATGCCTGCTTTATTCGGCGCATGCATCTACTCCTTTATGTGCCACCACTCGTTACCAGCTCTCATCACACCAATCAAAGACAAGAGCAAGCTAAGCCGTCTTCTTTCTTTTGATTTTATTCTCATTCTGACATTTTATTTCATCCTCATCCTTACAAGCATTTTTGCTTTCCCCAACATTGAGCAACTTCTTACACTGAATTTTAGACCAGATTTTAACACTAAGCTAGATCTAGAAATAATCGATTATTTTCTGATGTTATTCCCTGTTTTAACATTAAGCGCCAGTTTCCCTATCATTGCTATCACATTAAGATACAACTTACAAGCTGCATCGGTTGGAGAGGATGGCCCTTGGGTGGTGCGCAGGTTAGTTCTTCCAACAATCGCTGTAACCGTACCTATTATTGTCGCGCTTTTATTCACAAATATTGAAACAATTGTTGGCATTAATGGATCTTATGCTGGGGCAGGAATACAATATGTTATTCCTGTGTTTCTACTTCTTAGATCTCGTGCTTTAACTCCAGAAGCCCTCAAAAATGAAGTAAATCCACATCAATCGCCATTCAGTTCACCAATTTGGCCGCGTGCTCTTCTTTTGTGGGCAGTTTGTTGTGTCATTTTTGTCTCGGTGAACCTAGCTGATAAGTTTCTGAACGTATCAGTTTTTTAAGTAATTGAGTGATACATTCCCCGTGGAATTAACTTTTTCCATAGAGGAATTTTGTTTTGAATTTCTTTTCACATTTCACCAGTATTTCCTTCAGAGTAATGTACTGATATACAATATCACCCTATTGTTGGAATTTTAGTTGAAAGCAATTTTAGAAAAGAGGTAAGTATAAATACATATTTTGGATTTTCCAATATTTTACTGAAATTTTCTGATTTTAGCTTTGATCTATATAAATTTTAAAACTTTCTGTTCTTAATGAATATCATGAAGTTTTGCGCAGAAGTATGTACGCTAATTTTTAGAGGGATGAAGCTAGTGCTCAAGATGAAAAGAAAAATGTAATTTGTGATTCCTAATTTAGTTACCCTCTCTGATTGTAAACTTGAGACTTACTTAATTTTGAAGCTTCAACATTTATTCAATGCAAAGACACGATGACCGTTATCACGATAGTAGCAACAAAGGGGCATTTTATTTTGTTTTGAATACAAAATTTCCCTATCACCTAGGTGAAAGCCCCCGAGACCATTAATTTTTCTTCCAAAAGATATGATTTTGAGCTGACAATAATTAATCTGTAAGGTAGTTGAGGACTTCCATATTGCATTATTATCAACTCAGCGAACACTCCAACTTTTCTGCTCCCTCTTTGGCAAAGAAACTTTGCAAGAATTCAGCAAGATGCCGCAGTGTTAAGAGACTCATAGATCATGTAGTAAGAATTCATGCAGAGGATAGAACTGAATACGGATCTCAGTAGTTACTGTCTAGGTTGACAAAAGTTGGGGATTTTAAGTTATTAGAGAAAACTTTGAAATATCTGAGCACTCATCTGAAAACAGCTAAAAGTCAGAGAAAACTGACAGATGCTTTTCAATGATGTTTAATCTTGCTCTATTTTAAACTTTGAATAATTTGATCAATAGTTCTGTTTGACCACCTTTCTTTCCAAATTCAAGGAAAGTTCAAGAATTATCTTAAAATTGGTCATTAATGTCGGAAAAACGTTCAGGAATTTCATCTCTGCATTGCTGTGTTGATGTTTTACTACCGCCGTGGTAACTGTCATGTTTCTTTTAGTGTAGTGTTTTTTCTTGCCCACCTTGATTTGTGGTTACTCATTTTTTGTGTCCAAAAAAGAGGTAATCCCTTGTAAGGATTTTTAATTTTACTGTTGTACAACTATCATATTTTAGAATGTCTGTCCATTCTTATCTCTTATGAATCTCCTAAAAACAAAAGAACTACTTAAGATTTCAAGCCTCTGGTATGGAATTTACTTGTTTTTAATATCATGGACCAAAGCTCTCGGCTCATTGAAATGATCTGTGTCTCATGTATTCATTCGATCATGTTGTATTTTGCGAAATATTTATTTTAACACTTTGTGCTAATAATAACCAGCAAAATATTCCTCTTAAATGTTTCTTAGAGTCCATAAGTACTTTTTTCTTCAGATAATGTTTCAAAGCAAACTCGTGTGGCCTGGTCACAAAAAAGTGAGCTAAATGACTCTATTTTATTATTATTTTCAAGCATAATCTTTTCTTAGATTTTCTTTTTAGTATTAAGTTGTGATAAACTTGTGATGTGATTGCATTAATTCAATAGACTGATTGAAACGCATATTATTCCTGATTATGCACAAATGTTTCAGTTGGGACACTACTGTACTACCATTTTTGTGAACTAAAAATAATTAACAACCAGGCTCTGTACTAGTTTGATGACAACAAGGCTTTCTCGTCATAAATTTTTCAATTTTTGTTTGCAAATAGTTTTCAGGATTTTTAGTCCTCTAAAGTGATATGGATTTTGGATCTAGTGAATAATGAGGTTACACATTCCAAAAATTGAAAAACTCAAAACGCAAAAAAACAAAAAATGTTCGTTTTTTATTTTCCTCTAGGCTATTGTAATAACAGGGATTGTAAAGTCAAGTTCTTGAAGGGTCACAAGTGTCCTTAATTATCTTTCTTTCTCCCTTTCTTAATCATTTTTCAATGAAGCTGCAATTTTTCTACTTTCAAACTACTAGTATCATCCTAGTGTTGCCCTGTGATTTAAACTTGTAAATATTAATATTGTTTATCTTTTTATGGAAATAGCATCTAAGTAAGTTTTAATTTTTTATCTTTAATGATTGAAAACTCATTTTGATATCTGTGTGTATTTTATGCTCTAAGATTTCTAGTGTGTCACCAGAGGTTTAATAATTATTAGTTCCTCAGCCCGAAGTCAGGTTAAATCTTCTGTCATCTCACTTAGTGCTTTTACTTCTCTACTCAACCTTTCTCATTGTTTCACCTTTTCATTTATTTCTAGTTTCTAATCAATGGAAGCTCAAAATGTTTGAACTTGGATTCATCAGCTTGGAGCGATTCTTATTTCTTTTGGCAGACATTTATTTTAGGAGGAAGTGTGAAATTTTAAACATGTGCCTTTACATGACTTATTTCCGGTTATAGAGGAGAGCTTCTTTCTCGTAATATTCTCCTCAACTCGCACTGGCTACAAAACTCTAAGGTTATTTTTTTTTGTTCAAACGAATTTCATCACATCGAAATTTTTACTTGTTGTTTTATCTTTGTCTTGGGATCATCATAGTAATAAACGAGTTTCTGATCTTTTTAATTATATCAATTTCTCGGCTCAAATTTTCATCCCCACCAATAATTTCCAGTATAAACTCACGTCAAGGTCCAGAATGTGGTATTCCTTACTCATATCCAGTTTCATCAGATTTGATGTATAATAAATTTTTACAAGAGCTCTCATACCTCTTATCATTTTTTTGTTTCATTATTTTATGCTAATTAATTCCAATGATTTCAATTGTTATGCTTAATCTAAAGTAATTGTTCTGTTATTTATTACCAAATTTTATTTTTTTTTAATCCACATTTTATTTATAGTTTTATTCATATTGTCACTTGATACATTGAGCCAAAATATGTGATGTTAAATTAAGCACACGATTTCACTTCAAAATTATGTTGTAGGTATTTAAAATAAGAACTTAGTACTTACTCTCATACTTTGTTCAAGTTGTATGAGGATTGACAGAAATGTTTTAATTCATCGGTGGAAGTTGAAAATGACCTGTAATAAAACGTAAAACCGTTTATTTTCTCATGGAAGGGTGGCTTAAAAGCTTGTAAAATGTAATTCCTGAGGCCATTTTCATTGCAACGTGCTGCTCTCTTGGGTCGTTTGAGTTTTTTATCTTTAATTTTCAAAAAATTTACAAAGTTTTAATGACATCAATTGGTCTTATTAAAAACATAAATTTGAATTTTTTGGAGCTCATAGTTTATCAGATTTTTCTAACTGTGGGTATCTAATCTAAAAGTTTTAGCACATGACAACCTTTTTTTCTATGCCCTCAGATGTTAATTAATTCTCATCAAACATGTAAAACAATCACCACCTACTCAAACTTAGAATTTTTCTCTACATTATCAGTGTTCAACATTATCCTGGTATGTGAATGTGAATAAAGCTATCAATATTGAGCCCCGCAGACGAATTTTGATTCACTTCCCTTCAGTGCTACTTGTCAAAGACACATTACCAAGAGTATACCTACACAAGGCAAGAGCATCGTCATTCTGTGCCTTGCATAGAATCTTGCTGCATTACTTAAAGTAACTTCAAATTGCTGTTGAAAGTTCAAAAACCCATACTTCTGATTACAGGTCTACTTTATTCGTTGTTTTAGAAGGAATATCTGATCAATATTTTTCTTGAAATTTCTTCTGAATTCTAAGTTTTCTTCTCCTCACAAAGAATATTTTGTAAAAATTTTAGACCATTAAATCAGCTAGATTTTCTTCGTAAAATTTAAGTGAACGTACACATTTTGAAAAACTGCAATTCAAGGTACAAGTTTTTGAACTTTCATCAATCTTTAATGCTTCAGTCATTTTTATGGCTTCAAATTAAATTACTTGCTTTTTGTTACTTTCAAATGCCCAGTCAATACTAAGTAACAGGTGCAAGGAACGGATCGGTCTGTCTTTTCCGAACTATTCTTTTTCTTATAATTCAATGGGAGGAAAAAGTGACGATAAAATAATGATACATAGCGATGATGGAACTACAGAAATTTAATGCGCATCTCGGTATGCTGCGGACCTCCTGCCATACTGTATTTCCCATGTGGAAAACTACTAAACGTCATTTCTTGAAACTGCGATTTTTATTCTCCATATTTGAAGAATATTCCGTGAAAATCTCGAGCCACAATGTTGGTTAGGTCTCCTTTGAAAAAATACAGTAGGAGTGGAGATTTTGAAACACTGCAACCGAGATACTTACGTATTTTTGCAGTTTTATTGTCGATATGTCAGCTCTACAGGGTATCCCAGGATTAAGTACGAATATTGAAGGAGTCAAAAAATTGGGTCAAAAAAAGACGTCTTTGAGGAATAACTTTTTTTTTCCAAAAACGCTTTCCCTGGGGTCCACAACTCCCCAAAGATGGAGGAAAAGAATCGTCTTTTTAACACTGTGACAATATTTATCAACCAATATTAATGAAAATTGGTAACTGGCAGTAATTTTTAGCGCTCTTTTCATTTTTGACCTCCAAAAAAAAGGAAAACTCAATTGTGAGGTTTGAACCTAAAAAAGGCCAAAATTAATGTTTCTAGCGACAAAAATTGAATTTTGACGGCACTCTTAGAAGTAGCGTCAGGGCCGGGTTTAGGGGGTGACCACATGGGCCGCGGCCCATGGCGGCAAATTGAGGGGGCGGCAAAGTCAAAGTCGGATTCAGAAAAAAAATTACTAACGAGGAAAGGCGACAAAATCTCTCATTTCTTAATTTTGTCGTCTTTCGGGGATACAAGAGACGGCTCCTTTAATTAGTCGAGCTAAGAGAAAAACCAAACACGCAATTTGGCCTGGAACGGCGCGGCGCAGAGAGCAATGATGACGAGGACTTGAGATGAAAAGGAGAAACCCTCGGCGCGGCGGCGGTCAACATGTAACACATATTAGCGCCTACGAGACTGCATGAATACTTCACGCATTGCGTCAGACATAGCAGCAGCGGCGCGGCGGCAGCGCGCAGCGGTCGACGCGAAACGCATAGCGCCTACAAGACTGCATGAATACTTCATGCATTGCGCCAAATATAGTGCGCTCAGCGCGGCGCGGCGGCGGAAGTCAAAATTATTAAACCACATTTATGTTTGTTCTTTCATAATTTTTTCGCTCAATACTAATAAGTAAAAGGCCTTGTCCACACAGAGATAGGTTTACGAAACTTAACTTTCGCGCAAAGTTCCGGGAACTTTTACTGGTAGTCTTGACTGGGCTTTCGCAAAAAAATGTGTCAAACACGAGTAAACGTGTCTTATGCACCTTTCCCCCTCGGGCACGTTCACTTGATGGTTTTTATTGATGTTCCAAAACGAATGAGAAGGGGGCGGCAAAATACAGGCGGCAAGTAGATGAATCCGGCCCTGATTACCGTTGAAAAATATTGTGAAAATGTACCTTGCGTTTTTCGCTGTGACTCATCATTTTCGAGATAAAAGGGACTGAAGGGAGCGAGGGTGGGCGCGAAGGGGATGGCCCCTAGGGAAGGCGTTTTTGAAAAAAAAGTTACGATACAAAAACGTCTTTTTTACCCAAAGAATCGACTCCTTTAAGGTGATTCGATGGACGCCATATTTTGTGTCAGAACGGCATGCGATATATCGCATAAATTGGTTCCATTTTTCAGCTACTCATCATTTTTCTCCAATTTTGAGATCGTGATTCTGTTGTCAGGAGACTTAAAGCACTCACTCACCAATTTTAACAAAGAAATTCAACGTACTAAAGGAGTGGTTTTTTCAGAGAGAAAATATCGCATTCGAGTGCAGTTTCGATATCAGTATCGAATGCGATGTTTTCTCTCTAAAAAACCACGCCTTTATTACGTTGAATTTCTTCGTTAAAATTGGTAAGTGAGTGCTTTAGTCTCCTGACAACAGAATTGCGATCTCAAAATTGGAGAAAAACGACGAGTAGCTGAAAAAATGGAACCAATTGATGCGATATATCGCATGCCGTTCTGACACAAAATATGGCGTTCATCGAATCACCTTAATATTCATACCTAATCCTGGGACACACCGTATGATATTTTTTCGACAATTTTCCATCGGATTTTTCAAAATTTATTTTCTCGCTGACATCTCCGAAGCCCGGAATCGTGGCCAATAGCGAGTCGTTCGAGAGAGCCGTTCCGCGGAGCTGGTTCCGACTGCTTAACGCAGCGCACCGCGATGGTGTTATCATTCTCTCTCCCTTCGCGGTGATTCGTCAGTCGTTCACCAGAGCTCCCAGTGCGCGTAACGTGGTCGCGGCGCGGGGTTTTCGATCAGCCGCAGCCAGGTTCGTGTTCCGCTCGCCAGAAACCCGGGCAGCAGGAATATCGCTTAAAAATCTCTCTCTTGTGTAGTCAGTTCTGCGTTTTTAACGTTTCAAGTTTTCCACACGAAAATCTACATTGTGTGTCACCGAGCAGAATGCCGTGACAAGTGTTTTCAGTGTTGTTTGAGGAGGCGCAGTGGTTTACGAAGCGCCGGCGTATCGTCGAACCTACAGGTAGATATTTCGATGTCACGTGTTTAATTTGTTTGTTCTACCTAAAAAAGTCTAGATTCTGTGTTTCATAGATTTATGCAAGGTTGGTACGGTCAGGGAATACTGGGAAATGTCAGGGCATAGTAAAAAGTCAGGGAATTTGAGGAAAATGTCAGGGAAACATTGTTAAGTCACCTTTATTTGCCTTCTTGAATTGGTTGGACGTTTCGAAAAACACATTTTGCCTGAACACCATTTCTGACTATGTTTTTTTAACAATCTGGCATTTGTTCAATTGTCAAGGAATTTCACCAAAATGTGTCAGGGAAATTAGGGGAATATCAAAGGATTACCTATCTAAATTCTGTGGCAACCCTGTATTTATAGATGATAAAAAAAAAAAAAAAAAAAAAAAAAAAAAAAACGCATGAAAGTAACGCATCGGTTACCTATGGGCAAAAATTGAGGGGAAGGACCATCTGTTAATAACAACCTAAAAGAAAAAAAGACGTTAGCAAGGTACGCATTTATCCAGTTTGTACATCAATATTACTTACCTAAGCTGTAATGAAAAATACAAAAATAGAAATCTCTCCCCCTCCCCTCTCTCTCTTCCTCTTTAACAAAGCGATCGAAGATATGAGCAAACTGGAAAATCGATGGCGAACCCATCGAACGATAAAAGTACTTCGGTTTGCGACGCTGCATATTTTTTGTCGGATTTTGCTTTTTTGAGGGGTATAGCTCTTCTTTTTTATGGTGTAATTGGACGTATTTGTGCTAAAAGGAACTATGTTGCACGAAATCCTATGCACACAGTTTCTTTTAGCATAAATACGTTCAGTTCTTCTTTGCCCTTCCCAGAATATTCTCTGAAAATCTGAAATGTTCATCAGTATAATGACAAAAAAGCTTAAAACGAAAATTTTGAAACACCCCAATAGAGATGTGTGGTTTAGTAGTCGCACCGTCCGATATATTTCAGCGGCCATAGGGCAGCGCCTCGCTAGTAAGTTTATAATTACTGCATTCGGGGAGAATGAGATCACGCGTGACTTTTAAACGCACGTCCAACGCAGGAGACTCCCCCGTTTTTAGGGCCCTGTCCAGTGTCCAGTGTCCATGCCACCAACAACGTGACAATGGGCACGGGGATCGGGTTGAATACGAATGTGGCGATTGGTGCCGGTGCGTGTTGCATTGGTTCCGGGGAGATGGGGATGACATCAAGTGTGACGACACACCGGAGCGCGCAGAGTTGCCACCAGCGACGAAATACCAACCTGAGATGAAGACCTTGGAAAATTACACCAGTTTTCCTGGTAGTTTCCCATCACCGTGGGTTTTTGGGCAGGGGTCGATAATATTCCCGAATCACGCGAGAGCCAACCTCGTGCAAAAATCGTGGAAAACCCTCAGATTGTCCCCCTTTCTTTGCGATATCCGGCACACACTGGATCGAGTCAATAAGAAAAGTCGGATAAAATCTGAACATTTTAAAAGCTTCTCGTATATTTGATAATATGAAGCAAAAAAGTTCAAAAGTGGCTCTAATGGGGTTTCCGTAAAATTTCCTTTCCAAAAAAAAAAAACCCCTTGAAATTGAATTTGTAACTATATAGATGCATCAAAATTTTAAATTTTAGCCAAAAAAATTCATGTTTGACCTCATCTATTCGCTCGTTCCACTGTGCGGCATAGAAATTGTAAAATAAATGTTGGTTAAGTCCTTCTTACTAACGTTTAAAAGTTCCCTCTCGTCGGCAGACCAAAAACCTGACGACTAATAGAAAGGAAGAAAGAAAAATAGATCATCACTTTTTGTGGAAGCACCTCCCCGGCTAGCGCGAATAATTATGAAAAGCAGGGACTTTTTTCGACCCCTGTTTTTGAGAAGTTCGATTGTCCGTGGTAATTTTATCGTGTTAAGTAAAGAAAATGTGGTCAAAATAATAGGAGACCAATACAAAAGATCAGTGGGGAAGTGTTATACGGAAACGGATCAATGAGGAGAGTTTAACATTATCAAAATCAGGTATAAACTTGTCTAACATATTCAAAGCAATTTGTATTCCCTGTTCCTTACATTACCTAGACAAATTATCGACGGAAACTTACCTAGAACAAGTGCTGAACATTGTAATATGGGGTAAAATTAATTCGCTAATGCAAGGTTCGATACCAATGAACATACATGACAAAACTACTGGAAGCAACTATTACTGCTCTCAAGCCGCTCACATTGCCTATCGAAATATTGAAGGCGAACTGCAGGCCGGAACAAGTTAGGAACAACGTGAGTGAGGTATTAAACCGCCACAGCTATGAATCCGAGCTAATAATCCGAGCCAAAATGCTGCGAGCAACTATTACTACTCCCAAGCCGCTTGCATTGCCTTTATCGAGACATTGAAGGGGATAGGGATACTGATTTAAACGAGAGATAAATAATGTCAATGGAGTATTAATTCTACATACCTACATGCTTCGTTTTAAGAGGCACTAATTTGGAGTTGGGTGCGCTTTTGCCGCCCTCCACCCTTAAATGCAGAAATTGTACATAAGAAATTATCTCGGTAGATTCTAGTAGGTTATTTGAGTCATTTCAGAAGTGACAACCAGTTCAATGGAACTTCTCTCAGAGACACGGGCGGCGCCTTTGGAGAAAGTGTCATCAATTGGATTAGTTAGTGTGTCAAGAAAAATTTTCTTAGGAGTTTTTAGTAGGCACGAATTGATTCAACTGTTGGTTTTCTCCCCTTTCAATTTGGTATCACGTCCAATTTTATTGGTGTCGATTCTGACAACAGTGGGGGCAACCAAGAGTGTAATAGGCACTGGGCTCTGACAAGTATTACAATCTTTTCCCACAGTTGCAAAATTTAACGCTGCACTGAGTAGTGCCCTTTAAGCACCAAATACTCATGAAATACATTGTGTGCAATTTGTCAATCTGGACGCACAATCAGCCGGTGCCCGGTATGAAGGACAGCCTCAATGAATCAGTATTGTACTGGCCTCATCCTATAGAACTCGCCAATTTTTATCTTCGACGAAAGGGCGTTTTGTCAGTTAAGGCTGCTTTTAAAGTACCTCACATGTACCCATAGTAATTGCCGATATCAGCAGCACAGGGATATTTAAAGTGCTCGTGTTTCTAATTGTTCATTTCATATTTTAGTAAACAAAGGGACGAACAGTACCTACTGAATATATTGAAAATACTGCATGAGAGACTCTAAATTTTTAAAATTTTCCGTGAGTGCCAGGGCCAGAATTACCCACTTGCCGCCCATGGGCCGCCTGTGTTTTTCCGCCCCCTTCTCATTTGTTTTTAAACATCAATAGACCGTATTCGACAGTGGTTCGATGTATCGTTTGGTTCAAAGCAATAGTACATGACCTCAAACAAAAATTTTAGGATTTAATTTGGAAAAGCTGAAAATGAGAAAATTCCTAACAACTTCACTTTTCGTTGCCATTTGGTACGCGAGAGAATAAAAATTCGATCACATAAGACCCGTTACCTCAGATCTCTAAATTGACTTTTGAGGCTGTGGTTACTTATTGAACCAAATCGATATCAATATAATCTCACTCGTGTTATCCGTCGAATACGATCTATAAAAACCATCAAGTGAACGTGCCGGTGAGGGAGGGGTGTATGAGACGCGTTTGCTCGTGTTGGGCACATTTTGTGTGAAAGCCATGTCAATACTAACAAAAGTTCAGTTTCGTGAACCCATCCCTGTTTGGACAAGGCCTTCCATTTATAAAAAACGAACGAAAAAATTATGAAAGGACAAACATTAATGTAGTTAAAAATGTTATCTTCAACCGCCGCGCCGACTGCACTGTTGGCGCAATGCGTGGAGTGTTCATGCAGTCTTGTAGGCGCTATGCGTTTCAAGCCGACTGCTGTTGACCGCAGTGTGTTTGACGCAATGCGTGAAGTATTCACGCAGTCTTGTAGGCGCTATGCGTTTCATGCCGACCGCCGTGCGATGAGAGATTTTGTCGCCTTTTCTCGTTTGTAATTTGTTTTCTGAATCCGATTTTCTCTCTCTTTTTTTGATACCTACATTCAAAAATATTGCAAAATTTGCAACCCCCTACATTTTGCCACCATGGGCCGCGGCCTATATGGCCACCCCCTTAATCTGGCCCTGGTGAGTGCTCTCTCAGGTCCTTCTTCAGTTTTAGGCCGTATCTCAAACCTTCCCTCACGATCACTGGGCAAGTGCTCATACTGTGTTTTTCCGTAAAATGAACATGTCAGATTTGCGAATCTCTTGGGGGTCACATTCTCGGCGCCAAAAAATTCGCGAGTCGTTGCCCTCAGCTTTGGGTTCCTAAAACTAATTAAAACATAGCTGTGGGATGCAGATGGATGAAAGCAAGCCGGGGAAAGCAGTAGGCCGTGAAAAGGACGTTGGATGATTGATATTGCCTGACGTAGCACTCCGCGCATCGGTCATACTTACAATCAGAATCAGTCAATTGTCTCGCCGGTACTCAAGGTCTGCATGAGGCACCGCGTGCGCACTCTCTTGCACGAATTGTTGCTGCATTTGCAGTGCAGCGAGTCATTACTGCCGGCGAAAACTCAGCAATTAATCTGCAACAGAGGGCAATACACCCATCGGAATTATGCAGACTTTTCCTCGAACCACTCTCATTTGTCAGTCTGACTCACAACGGAGCTTGGAAGTTTGAGTCGCATTACACACATATCCGCCGTACTAAGGAAAAACGTCGTGCGAACATTCGAGAGTTGCCAAATCCTCTCAGAAAATATTTATTTTTGTAGAGAGTTTTGAAAATTTCTCCTTGAAATTTTCAGGAACTTATGGTGACATGAGAACAAAATTATCGGAAAAATTTGAGGAAAAATCTTTAAAAATTTTCCCGAAAATTGGAGATTTACCGAGGAAAATTTGGCAACGCTAGAAGGTTCATGCGGCGTTTTTCTTTAGCACGGCAGTACTGACATCATTATGTAATTTTAAGATTCCGTATAA